GCTCTTTGCTTGAATATCAGTCAATGTATCCCCTAGCTACAACCCCGAAAAAGTGAAAATCCTGTGTGCTGAAAGAGAATTTCAAATAGATAGAGTTCATGATTCACTGGCTTCTGCCCTTTTTTGTTAACAAGTCTTAACAGATTCTGTAATATTTGCTAAGCCATCCTGTAGTGTTTTCCAGCTGGGGAAGATTTTTTTAAAAATACTTAAACCCATCCTAAAAGATACTGTTTGGACACACTCTTAATCTGTACAGTTTTTGTTTCCATTCATTTGCTTTTCTTTGAGTTCCTTATAATCTCTTCTCCCTGTAGAGTTCTTTGAGCTGTTCAAGGGGCTTATCTTAAACTGCCTGAGCATGCTGAGGAAATGGATGGGAGAGGAAAAAAAGTCAGATGGAACTTCCTTGGGAATTTTATTCCCCATTTACAGATCTCAAGCTGAAAAGATAGTGAGACGTTTTGTGCCAGTTCCCTGCGAGTCTTCCAGAGCTGGTTACTGCCTTTCCCAATTTTTAGCAGCAACCACAAACTTTTAATTCACCACCAGCATTTTCTGTATGGCATAGGGTGCTCTACACATGACAGCAGTGTTGAATTTTTGCACTGGGTAACATTTTGTTGGGGTTTGTATCAGCTGCGTGCTGGGTGATGATGGCAAACCTCAGCAGTTGTCTTACACTGACTTTGAGGAGGTTTAATTTTCTGTACAGAGAAGCAAAGTGATAAATGTTATTCTGTTACTGTGTTATTCTAAAGAAATCTTTACTTTCTCCTCTCTCAGCTTTGTAGTGGTTCAGGTCTTTATGGATACATGTATACTGTTCATGTGTGGCATGAAGCCTTGCTCCTTTTCTATACAACCAGCAAAGATTTTCCTCTGGGTAGGATTTGACTTTCTCCTCTAATTTTGCATTAAACTTAGCAGGTTCTGAGCAGGTTCTGTTCTTTCATGCTGCTTGGATGCATATGGGAAAGCTGACTGGGACGTCTGTGGCTACAGATTTATTAAGGAGCAACTTCTGTAGCAGCACAAGCATCTAGTCCCTGCAGACTGCCTGCTCCAAATTGTGTGCTCCATACCATCAGTTAGGAAAGCATTGCAGTCAAGAGCCCTAATATCCTGCCTTGCTTATAAACTATAGGTTTCACTGAGAAAGGTCTTGAAATCTCTAAGGAAATTTCCTCTTCAGAAACTTATCTTGGTGGTTTTTGATACGCTGCTGAAAGAATACACAGGCTAGAACAAATGTCCCAGCTGAACTTTGGTTCTACTATCAGGAAGTGTTGGAGGCATTTCCCTAACAGTGAAGCAGTAAATTGTTACAGGATATTCTCTCCCTTAAATGTAATTTCTCTTTTACACCTATGTGAGTGCGTTTGTACACCATATGGACTCGCATACAACCATGTTGCTACTAGGATGTGTATTTTTAGTTGCATGCTGCTTAAAAATGCTGAGATCTCAGTAAGAGCATTTCGCATTAAGAATGTTGAAGTCTTGTATTATCAATAACGGATCATTTTCAGAAGAATATTTATCTGAGTTTGAAGTGCTCATTTTTCTCATTTTCTGCTCTTAGGATCTTTGGGCTATTTATCATTAGCTTCCAAATGCTTCTGTGTGATCCTATATCACATTATGTGTCTTCTTTGGAAGGAGGAAAATTACTACATAATGTGTGTCACCAACAACCCCTTTCTACAGTACAACTAATAGAGAAGCTGGTGGTATCTGTGAGACGCCTTCTGAATTCATGGCATTGATATTTATAAACATAGAGAGAAGTGCTGCAAAGTCAGGTTGGAGCTCATCAAGTCCCATGCTTGGAGCATACAGTAAACACATAGCTGAATATTCACATTGTCTGTCTTTGCTCTTTTTTTCCCCTGTGTACATCTACATTTATCTTTATCAGTCAAAGCTCCTTTTGCCAAATCTTTTAATATTAACTATTTCTTTCAGTTGTCACCTGTTTCATTCTCTGTTCTCAGTACTTGCAGCATGGCAGACAAGAAAACAGAAATAAAGAATATTTGTTCCTGGCTAACTCTTAGATCATTGCACATTTACTGCTGTACTAATTGATAAGTGTTCTCTCAATATATCTTCATGCATTAACATGTTATTAGGAGCTTTACTTTATCATGACATCAGAAAATTCCTGAATTATGCTTTCTAAGACTGGCTTTTCCTGTGCAACAGAATTTTTTCCATCTCTTCATATTACAGTGTGTGATGGTAGATATGTTTGTTGTGTCTATAAAAAGGTAATGCTTTGAGTGCTCACTTTTAATACTCTGTATTTAACTCTGTATTTGTGAAGAAACAATATACTGCTTTGCATCCAAGTGGCTGTTATTCTCGAGAGATGCAATTAATTTACACAAAACCCAAAGTGTCCCAGAACATCTCCAGATCTTACAGTAACAATCTCTATAACAGTTTAACCAATTTTTCCTGTGGTTTGGAAGCTTAAAAGATGAAATTTGGAAGTCAATCATGTATGAATACACATATTTTTCTTAAGAGCAGAATTCATAGTTCATGGCCTTGTTAAGTCAAAAGCACATCCATTACTGAAAATATTAAAGGGACATAAAAAGCTTGTAACCATGATTTAGGCCCAAGAGCAGGTAAAAATGTTAAAAATCATCAATCATTATACAAAATAAGGCAGAATTTTTCATTAAATTACTATTGAAAAGAAGAAAGATGGCATCTTTCTATTTTATTGTAATAAAGATGGGCTCTTTTTTTTTTTCTTTTGAGCCCAAAGTAGGGCTGAGATGCAACAATCACAAAAACAATCACAAAAGCAATTTTTGTTTTTTACTGGAAAAAATAAGGTATGCCCATATTTCTAATGGTAAATGGGATGACTCAGGTAAGTATAAGTTTGTAAAATTGACATTTGCTGCTAATAAAATTATGGAAATGTGCTACAGGATATGGTCAACAGTGACTTGGACAAGACATTATTGCTAATGCAAGTGATGGTTTATGTCTTGTCAAATGTGTTTATTATTAATTTTAATGATAAAACAGACTTATGCATGGTATTTTAATGTGTTCTGTACAACATTTTGTTACAGAAAAATGGCGTTAAGCCAAATTGACTTACTCTGTGTTAAATCAAATAAAAACTAGTTATCTAGTAGATCTGGGAAGGTGGTTATAAGTGAGAAAACCTCATGCTGTGGGGAAGTTTCCAAAGAGATACTTCATTGTGTTATGCAGAAGAACCATCATCTCTTTTGTTTATTCAAGATGAGCTCAAGAGAAGACCTGTTCATCTTCTGTAATCACCTACACGTGTAAGAGATTTCAGATGATTGCAGATCTTTTGTCTGAGCAACATGATGAGATCTGCAGGCTGTTGGCTGAAAATTAAAAAAAAAAAATCAGTTCATAAACAGCAGATGTTTTAAAAGAGTGAGCAGCTGTCCATTGGAACAACTACACTATATCATTTGAAAACATCAAATCAAGGCCTTCTAGGCTATAATTTTACCAGGTATTCTGGGGTTGATATGAAAATTATGAGTGCAAGAGGTTAGTGCAGATGGTTGCAGTAGCCCCTTCCAGCCTCAGATTGTCACAGTACAGAGAGCAGGAGAATAACTTCTACTTCATCTTTTTGCGTTCATTACATCTTTGAACTGCAGAACAACTTTGATCTATTGACTAAATGTTATTATTAAACTAGATTGTTTACTATTTTCCCATTGTATGCTTTAGGACCTTTAGTAATACTTTACAATAATATGTTCTATACCTCTTCTGCATTAAACAGAAATGAAAATCATGGCTTTACTTCAGTACTAACATGATCATTTGCCTCAAAACTTAGTCAGTGTTACCAGAGTCTCCTTCTGTTTGCTAATATTCAATGGTAGTCAACACATTGACCCAATGTCCCTGTCTCTCGCACTGTCTGCAGAGTGAGCTGCCAGATTAATCCATATAATGAGAAATTAATCAGTACTATTGATCTGCAGTCTTCTCTATATGAGATTTCCAGAGTGCTCTTTTCTATTATTTATCCTAGGAAAACTTTAAAAGGTTTTACATGCTTCTCAGTGCAATTAGCTGCCATGCATTTTAGGGTTATAAGGAAGTTAATGTGTTTAGGAGGATATGTAGGTATTAAACACACAGTTTACAAACTTAACAAGATGCACAGGCTTTTGTTTTTTTTTCTTCAGGTGTATTTGTGTTACTATTTTGATAGGGAAATCCATTTAAGTTAAGAACTTAATTGAAGATCTTACTTAATTTTTCCACTATGAAGACATCTTAATGTTTTCAGGACAGTTTTTCACTTATCTTTACATTTCATAACATTTCATAATACTTTATTTTTGCTCCAATCTCAAACTCTTTGGATTTTCTAGTCTGTAAGCCCTCTAGGGCAGGTTACTCATCATATGTCTGTACAGCACTGAAACTAAACCCTAGGTATGTTTGGATACGTGTTGGTAAGTGGTCATCTACAATAAGACTTTTGAAAACTAGATTTTCTGGATGTGAGCAAAATGTGGTGTTTTCTATTGTGAATGGTCTGTCTTTGCATGTCTTAAAGCTCCTTCAGCTCTGAGCATCCATTCTGTGCTCCTGCAGGGACTGAGCGTAGCAGCGGGTGGATAGTCTGGGCACCAAGACGGGAGGGGTATCCACAAAAAGGACGTAGTAGTGCCACCTGCAATTCTGGAAAGAAAGTGTGAAAACTGCTAGGAATGAGAATGGTGTAACAGAATAGTCCCTTCTTCCACACCACCCTTTCAGCTACAGTGAAAGCAGTAGATGGGTAGAAAAAGACTACCCCAATTCAAGATAGAACTCCCACCAGAAGCTTTGTGAAATAACTGGATGGATGGATCTTAATATCCACCCAGTTGGATAAATAAGGTCCATCCATTCAGTTGTTTCATAAAGCGTGCGGTGGCCCAGTGTCATATTCCCAGCTGATTATTTTTCATCTTTCTTTTATTCAGGTTCTCTCAATTTGCCCAAAGGACATGAGAGCAGATATTTGTGTGCACCTAAACCGCAAAGTTTTTAACGAGCACCCTGCCTTCCGGCTGGCTAGTGACGGCTGCCTGCGAGCCCTGGCTGTGGAGTTTCAGACAATCCATTGTGCCCCGGGGGACCTCATCTATCATGCTGGGGAAAGCGTTGATGCGCTTTGCTTTGTGGTCTCGGGATCCCTAGAAGTCATCCAGGACGACGAAGTGGTGGCTATTTTAGGTACTGTGGTCTCTATTGAAATGCTTGTGGTTCGGATATATTTGCCTTCTGCTTAGCTTTGAATATTAACTAGTCTTGCCTAACATCAGCTGGGACTGCAGTAGGCTTAGTGGTTGTCATAAGATGAAGATGTCATTTCTCCAGAGACACTACTCTAGAAGCAAGTCCTTCATCTTTTAAGCCATTGGGAATACTTTTTCTGCCCAGTATGGCTCACTGGTCACAGTTATAGTGTCTCTGAGCAGAAGAGAATGGCATCTGTATGCTTGACATCTTTTAAATAGCCTGGTAGATTCTCTCAGGAGGATTTCCACATTAGCCTTCACCCTGGGATTTTCATTTGTCTGTATTCTAACCCAGAATAACACCTGCAAAGAGTCTCTACAAGAAAGCAAAATTGTCATTTGTAGTGAACTGGCTTTACAGAAAATAAATAGTCTGATCTGATGGATGCAAAGAGATAGGTATGCACTACCTATCCAGCCACAGTCCTGAGAACTCTGAGTAATGGGGGAGCTCCAGGTTAATCACCCTGTCACCCCGCTGTGGTGTCTGGTTTGCCAGCAATGGGGAAAGAGCCTAAGACAGACTCCTCACTAGCTTGTGTGGGATTGTGAAAGGCATATCAGGTGGTGGGACTGAGTGATCCATACTAATATTGAGGCAGAACAATATAGAGGAAGAACTGGTGGCTCTGCATGAAAACCATCTTGCATGTTTAAAATAGACCCATTTATTGTAGAACTCATCTCCTGTTGAATATTAGCTATTTGCTTTCTCTTAAACTGAAGCTGTGTCTCAGTTTAAGAGAAAGCCAAATCCAGTGGGTGGCCTTGTCCTAGGGGACCTCTTGCATGCTTCTGAGCCTCTGTACTGCTTCTTCCCTCTAAGAGTGGCTCTAGATGGCTCCATGGGGCCCTCTTGGATCTCATGGGGATGATTGCTGGGAGATGAGGGTTACACTTGGGAGTTGCACTGGTGTGTGGGAAGAGGGCAGACATGGGGAGTCAATACTGGTCATGAATCAAAGCTTCAGCTCCTGCCTAGCTGGCGGTGAGATGGGGCGAGGAGAAATGAGGGCAAACATGTAGCTGAAGGAGACTCCTGACATGTTGCTGTACAAGCCTGTGTCCGTGTGTCCTGTGCTGGGGTGGGACTGGGCAGTGTTGTGGGTATGTGGATGAGACTGCATGGGGATGTCTCCCAGAGGGCATAACCTGGGTCCTCCCAGCTGGAGAGGAAAATGCACATGCATGCTCTTTTGATATACCTGCTGCAGCTTTCTGTATTCCAGTATATACTAAGGTTTTTAAAAAGAGAAATTTAATGTAAGAATGGATCTGTTTCCATATTCAGATGTGAAGTCATTATGGTGAAAGCTCCTAAATCTGCAATTTCTATAGTAAAATATTCCTTGTATTTCAGCTCACTGGAGCATTTCATTTTTATTATTAATATCAGTGACGATAGCATGTATTTGCTTACAGCTATTCAAAAAACAAAAGCTTTAAGAGTAAGTAGCAGCATTTAAACAAATAAATGGTTTTCTGGATATTAGAATGAAAGCAAACAATAAATATGTAATTTACTGAACTAGAAGCCATCGATAACTGGATTACATGCAAAACTCTATTGCGTTTACTGAAGGCTATTGTGTGTTTTGAATGACTAAGAACTTTTTATTTCTACCTTGTAGATATGGTAAATCTAGCATCTATATTATTATCCATTTGGCTGGAGAGACCTTTAACTATATCTAGTTAAAGTGAATTACCTTTAATTACCAAAAGTGCCTTCAATTCTGTCTGCTGACAGGCGATCCCATGACTCAGAGCTATGTTCATTGTGTACTACAGGGACTGGCAGAATGTGTAAATGTAACTTAAAGCAGGATAAACTGCCTCCTGTAGTCGTAGAGCACACTGAAGAGTTTTTTTTCATGGTCTGACAGGTTATTTATCAGAATAGTGAACTGAAATAGTCAACTAATTACAAGATGTTGTATCCTAAAAATTCACTTGTGGAAGTGAACCTCTCCCAGATGTAGTTGCAAAGATGTTTATGGTGGCAGCTGTGGCACCTGAAATAGCAACTGTAGATTAGACGATGAAGAACATAATTTTTATTGATCTGTTCTGCCTTGAGAAGTTCAAGCACAAGGAAAGTGAATCTGCCTAAGGGGAGACCAAGTTTAGAAACCTCAGCCTAACATGAAAACCTCTGTAGCCTGTTTTGAATACTCCAAGCATCTACCATTACACTGGATTTCCTAGGGAAAGTCAACTTATGGGGTTGTACTATCAGTCTGTCCATCTTCCCCATTCCCCCAGCAGTAACCTGGAGTGGAAATGCAATAAGTATCCTTTGGAAACTTCTCCTCATTAATTTCCTTTATGGGAGCAGGAGCATGGCAGGACATGCTGTCTGCCAGCCTCTGCTCCTTGCAGAGCCATCCATTTCTGGAGTTTACTTTGGAACTGGAACGTTGCAGTTACTGTATTAATAGCATAGTGTTATTTAATATGATAGTGTTATTTGCCTTGCTTAAAGAGAAAGAGAGAGAAGATGTGTCCTTTTTTTTTTTTTTTTTACCACAGTCACCTACAAAACTTCTGCATGGATGTAAAGGTGTATTCTTAAAAGTGGAATATCCCACAAAAGTGAATCAGGTGGGGACGCCAAAACGGGTTAAGAACATCCATCTTCCATCTCTTACATTTGTACTTCTGTCAGAAGGGCAGGGGTTCATCCTCCCTCAGGTCCCAGCATGAATCAATCCAGAAGATTGCTGCTTTTTCCCCTTCTCCATCTTCCATTAATATGTTCCCTTCCCTCACAGCCCCAGTGAGGTGGCACATCCAGCCTCCCTGCCTGCTGAAATGGTGTCCTCAGGAGGCTTGGCGTCTCATCTAGATGCTTTCTGCAGACTCCACTGTGGAGACGACCATCCTTTTGTT